TTTCATATATGAGCTTTGCTCGACCGTCCGTGAAAACTCCTAGCTTTTGGAACAAATCAGGCATCAGCAACTGGAGGTTTACTACGGGCCAAATATACATTTTTGCGTATATAAGGAGAAATAATGAACCGATTTCATTGAAATTTAATATTTGAATTCTTCGTATTAAAATAATGAACATGTAAATTTTTTGGAAAGATCAGGCATCAGCAACTGGACGTTTACTACGGGCCAAACATACATTTTTGTGTATATAAAGAGAAATAACCAACCGATTTTATTGAAATTTAATATTTGAATTCCTCGTATTAAAACAATGAACATGTAATTTTTTTGGAAAGATCAGGGCCCGAAAACTGATTTGCGGGCCGATTTTACATTTTGCACCATATCTACGGAACGAATTGATGGAATTTCTTGAAATTTAATATTTGAGTTGTGGTTAACTGGCGAGCATTTCTGGGAATTCGGGTAGAGCAAAACTCTACTAAGAGCCAAATTTACATATTTCTAGGTATGTTAATTATAAGCTTACTAATGTCCTAAAAATTGGAAAGAAGTATTTAACAGACATTTTTATAATATTCTGTAACCCTTTCACTTAACTAGACAATATACAATGCGGTCGGTTATGTGCTGACCACATCAGATTTTTTTTTCTTCTACCAAAGAATGTGAAGTTTATCACCAACCTTGGCTTTACAAAAAATCAAGGCCGGGACCCTGTTTTTTTTGTGAATGTATTTGTTAAAGTTCTAGAAGATTCATTTTTTTTTGTTGCTTTTTGTGAAAAATGATGATTTTTACAAATTTTGATTTCGAGTTTTCTATACGAAAAATTGGCTAAAAATTAAAAATTCTTTAATTTTAAAAATTTGCTTAATGACTACAGTCGCACAGACTAGTCAGAGCAAGAAAAGAGCGTCGTTGGCAACGATAACGCCCTCACAAAAGGTCTACAGCAAAACAAAGCGACAGCGCTCCACAGAGAAATCACCTCGGAAAGCTACAGACCCAAGCCCACAGAGCAAACTCTTAAGCGCCCCACTACGAGGCCTTTCAGTGAGATCCTGAACGACCATCTTGTTTTCGCTGTGGTGGACCAGGCGCAAGAAGATGGCAGGATCTCAGTCATCTTCAGTCAAGAATTGGAGAAATGTTGAAAACCGACTAATGGCGGGCTTTCCTCAAATCATGGAGGAGAATCCAAGCCCATATCCCTCGTGCAGAGACCAAGGTTGACACCAGGGATTTGTCAAACTTGTGGCCTGTGCTGACGGCAGGTCTCTCGACCTGTATAAAAAGGCAATAGCAGGAGTAGGGGAAGTTTGGCCAACAGCCAACTGGCGGGTGGCAAAGTTGCAAGAGAAAAAGGGCGACTATCTGCAGGCCCTCATAATTATGAATAGGGTATCTTTGGCACCTCTGGAGAGTCAGGGATTTGTCCTTAACTATGGGTTCTCCTTCATAACCCTTAAAGTGTATAAAACAGATACGAAGGTTCCTACAATAACAAAAACATTCTGAAAGTACATAAAATAAAAAATCAAGTATTACGTTGTTTTCAAACAGTTTACTAGTCCTTTTAGAAACTGTTCATTTGAAGCCTTTATCTTTTTCGGAAGGGAAGTTATAAGCAAACAAGTTTGGGCAAATAATAATTTCGTGGAAATTCGTTAAAATTACTGTATCTGGGAAACCGTTGGGTTTTCACAACTAGTTCCAAACAATAATTTTACCCACTGCCCTATTATATGTACATAAGTATATAATATTGTACTCTTTAATTCTATATGTAACAAATTGAAACTCATTGGGGTACAATTGAAGGTTGACAATTTGGGGTACCGTAACAAATTATAATAATAATAATGGTGGCACAGACAACAATTAGAATTGAAAAATTAGAGTAATTGAAAATTTTCTTCCTTCACGTTTTGGAAAAAAAATTTTGTTTCATGTTCGATACAATTGCTTCAAAACTGGAACTTTCTGATGCAAGAGCAATTTGAATACAGTTTTCGGCGTTTAATCGATTTCTGTTTTTCGTTTTTAGGTTTATTAGAGTGGAGAAGCCTTGTTCGCACAAATATGTTGACAGCAATTTTTTAACCGCCTCTTCATGTGCAATTTTAAAAGCCTTTACAGGTTTTGACATTCAAAAAGTGGCAGATTTGGTTTACTCTCAAATTGAATACGTGCTTCAGTATTACATCGAAGTTTAAGAATTGCTTTTAACTCTTAATATAATAAAAGACAAGTTTGTCTTTTATTATGTATATGTTTTTACTCACAATTATGCTAATGTACTTTTGTCAAACGAATCTAAAACACAATTAGATACAGATAAAGAGAATAATACACATACATATATTATAATAAGTATATATTGGTTATGCTATGTGCATATACATACATATATTATCTACACTATGAACACAATTTAAAGCTGTGCTTGCTTTGTTTCCATTTTATAATTTTTTTGAAATGTCAAATTTAACCACATTATTTCAAATAATTAGAAACAAAATTAAATATTTATGAAAATTTATAAAAACTTTACCAACTGCTTTTCTGTTTATATTTGAATCTGAATAATTTCGAATTCGATTGCGAAACGCAAATATAAGCAAATGTCAAAAAATAATTTAAAATACATAAGCACATTACTTCTTTAATTTCTACTACTAGCGCTAAAAGTGATTGGAATATTAATTAAAATTGGCGGTATTATACAGCGATATTGAATGTCTTTTAAGCGACATCTACCGTCAGATATTTAAACAAGGATTTCAGGATAGAAAAATGTAAACAAAGCAAAATTAATAGGGATAACCGCGAAATTATTTTTGCACCATATTTGCGCTATATGTATTGAAACAAATATACAATATGAAATAATGATACGAATATTAATAATCTTCACCGACCTGTGTTAACAAATACTTAGAAACAATATTTTTCTCACTTTCTTAAAGCATTTTTTCTTTCCAATTTAAGCATTTTATTCATAAAAACAATTACAAATATTGTAAAACAACTGTTAAAAGTTTTTTGATATGCTTTGCAATTATTGCGCTTATGCACAGCCAATTTGCACTAACTCGAGAGTAAATATAAAATTAAGAAAATTGTGTTCGCATATAAATGAAAAAAAATATTCAAATAATAGCCATAAATTCTAAACCAATAACATTAACCAATGTTCGAATATGCGATCCATTGCTATATTATTTTAATATAGAAGATTCGATGAATTAAAGAAGTTATTAAATTTATGAGTATATAAATTAGAATATGGCGATTCCAAAATGAAAAGTGATTTTTGATATTTTATATACATATGTACATAACATATGTTTATGTTGATATTTTATATACATACCACAAAGTGCCTATTTATTTCTATAATCATAACCCGGGTTAAGATTTAATTACTTCTAAGATACAGAAGCAATTATTAAAAAAGGGTATAACAATGTTGACTATTATAATGAATTCTGTATTAAGGTTAAAATATGTGCCTAATGCTTGGAAGGTGGCAGAAGTTATAATGATACCGAAACCTGGTAAACCTTTGAATGAAATTAAGCCTTATAGACTAATTTCTCTGCTACCAATTTTGTCGAAACTTTTTGAGAAGTTATTACTAAAAAGAATGGCAACTATAATTGAGCAGGGGTCATTAATCCCGAACCACGAATTTGGGTTTAGAGCAGAACACTCAACTACTGATCAAATTCATAGAATTATAAATATTATTGAGCAAGCTCTAGAAGAAAAGCAAATTTGTGCATCAATTTTTGACAAGGTTCGGCACGAAGGATTGATATGCAAGTTAGAAAAAATATTACCAAAGCAATATGTAGACATTCTATCTTCTTATTTAATTAAATGTTTTTAATACACTCGTTTATTTATAATATTTTTTTCCTTACATGCCTACGCAACTTATTACCATCTATTTCTAAAAAAAATGTAATAGTTTAAGAATTTAGAAGCAAAATGCAAACGAAAACTAACGGAACGGACCAAGTCAAACTACTTATTAATAAATATACTTTGATGTAAACGGAGGGTCGAACTACTTCTTAATAGATATACTTTGATGTAAACATAAATATCTGTGTCCCATTGACATTTCATTAGCCTTACGTTAGATGGACTGTCAAAATTAAAAATATGTAGGTACATATTAAATATGTATGTATTTTTATAAGCAGTTGTCGCAATTTGGTAAATAAAAAATAAAAGAGGATTCAGTTTTGTTATAATAATAAAATAGCAATTTGTAGTTTAAGAATTAAAACTAAAAGGAGCTTTGTTGTTTTCTAGGTAAAAGATTTATATTCAATTTATTTTAAGTATTTAAAAGTCTTTAACAAGCATTATAATATGTTGTTTAATATCTTATAGGAATGCCATTAACTCGATCGAAAACTAAAACTAAAGCTTTGGGTATTCAATTTTGTGAATTACATACATAAGTACATTTTTAATTTTTAAAGAATTAGGCACTTACATGAAAACTAGCGAAAATTTTTTTCCTTTTTATTAATAATAATAATAGTTTTCAGAAGATCTTAAGTTCACTATTATAAATTATTCTACGAAAAAAATACTGTTTAGGTACCTACATATACATATTTAAGTATGAATAACGCGCCATTAACAAAATTTATAAGGAGATTTTGTTGAGAGGACTTAAATAAAAAAGCAAGCAAATTAATGTATGATAAAATATATTGTTATGAGAAAAAGTAATTTTTTTATATTCTAATGGCAAGAAGCGCCTTAAAATGGGAAAACAGTTTAAAATATAAATATTGCAGGATTTAAGTTACATCTCTATGAAGTATGTACCTACTTGCGTACATATACATAAATACGAACCTGTATTGGTCTTACTTAAACAGTTATGATAAATAATTTATAATATATAGACTTAAAATTATTTCAAAATGTACAAGTAAAACAGAATTACACTTTTTCTTTTATAGACACTGCACTTACAATGGTAAATTCAATTGAAAAAGTTAAAACAAAAAAACGCAAACAAACAGATGACACCAACGATGGAACATGTACCAAGAGAACTTTATTAACAACTTCAAAAAAAGTTTCAGATTTGAAATCCTTTGGCAAAGAAAATAACAATAAGGACAATGAAATTTCAGATTCAGAACTTTACGAAAAACATATTTATCACTTACAAAAATTTCTTTCTGATAAATACGTTGATGTCATCGACCGCCTAAAATTAAATTATATTCCAAATTGCGTGCGTGACTTATTGTTTTGTAAAAATAACCACTCAAAAAATTGTCCTGGTCCACCTATTATATCAAAAATGTTTACATATCGCATAAATCAGTTTTTAATAGAAAAACGTCCTCTAAATTATATAAAAATTTGTAACAGTATAATGCAACAAGGAATAATACCGGATGAGAATATATTTAATTCAATATTTCAATTAATAATTGTAAGTTGAAAGACGTAGGTGGCTATATTTTAAAAATAAATATTTTTTTTTAATTTCATTCAACATTTATATTTATTTTAGTCTTATGGATTTGAAGACGAAATTTTGCATTACACCAATGAGTATCTCATAAATGAATCTAAGTTGACTTTAATCAATTTCATTAATTTATTCCCACCCTGTTGGAAGGGTAATCGCAATATCTATTTAAATTTTTGTACAAATCCTGTTGATCAAACTAAATACTTACCAGAGAATAGTGATCCAGTTGAAAAAAGAAATATGTTCTTATTTATAGTATACATGATTGAAAAAGTCGCTAAAGAAGAAGAAGAAACATTAGAAACCAGTGTTCCTGAATCTGAAATCATACTTAACTTTAATGAATGGGAAAGAAAAAATTCAAAATGTAATAATATGAACGCCTTTACTAGAGAAGAAAAATTAAATCGTTTATTCTTAAGTCTGGACATATTTGTGAAAATTTTTGAAACCGATTTGTCATTATGGATTTTAAGATATTTGTCAAACCCCTATAAACATTTATTTACATGTGATAAACCTTTAATTGTTGCAGCTCTTTTAATTAAAGAATCTAATTTTATGTCAGATCATATTTTAAAAATAATTGAATTATTTGTCAGTTTAATATTAAATAACTATCCAAAATTTCAGATTATAGTTTTTAAGGTAATTTTATTTTTTAATTTTATGAATTACAAATAATAAAAAAATTTCTTTCACATATTTTCTTTATTAAATTATAGCGACTTCTATCACTTATTTATGTTGTAATAAATTTAGCTGATGCTGAGGAAAATGCCATTAAATTTCCAAATTTCAAATTAAAGTCGAAGACAATGCAATTTTCAAAGCAGATATTTGATTCGCTTGCAGGTAAATCATTTTTAATTTATCTAGATATTTGAATATTGATTTAATTTAAATTTGCAATGTAGGTGAATTGAATTTTATTAAATTCTTCAAAATATATAACCACATTGAAATACCTCTAGTTCGTTTGTTGATTATCGATCACTTTATAAAGAAGTTAGACAAAGACAAAACAGCAGCAACAGATTATTTAAATCCAAAACTTATTTTCGAACGATTTAGAAAACTTCTTTGGCAAAAATATGAAATATCATCAACACCAATAAATTATTTAAATGAAAAAATTATTAACATTCCGTATGAAGAAAAATTCCCGAACTATCCTAAAATTGAAAATAAAATATTAGAAATACCAGTATTAAAAATTTATAGAGAGCAGTACCTTTATTTATATTTAGAGGCTTTGAAAGCATATTGTGACGCATTTTTTACTAAAAACTTTCTATTAATATTAATGGATTGCAATACAATAAAGCCAACAATAGTTTTAACTAAGGAGATAGAACCAAAAAAAATTACAAAAAAATTTAAACTGGAAAAATTAGAAAAAGATGCTTCAAAACTTTTAATGGGAATTGATTTAGATAAAGCATTTGGCAACTCGAGCTCAAATGAAATACCAGAGTATGGTGTCGATGTTACTTACGAGATAATTGTACAATATCGAAGCGATTATAAATATTTATCGCTATTAAAAAAAAATTTGCCAATTATGATACAGAAATTTGGTAAAGAATTTGATATTTTTACTGAATTCATCGAATATTGCTTTACACCAGAATAAAAAGTTTCTGTGTACCTACCTACCTATTTTAAAAGAACAAAAAAATTAATTGTTGTGGAGTTTTTTATTTCATGTTTTTTAAAATTATTTTGTTTTTGTTTGTATGATTTATTAAATTAAAAATAAATAAACCAATTTAAATTATAAACTTGTTTCTGTTTTGCTAACAAAAATAATTGGCATGTCAACATTTGTAATGTTTGATAATGTATTTTGCTGAAATTTCTTTAAATTATTAAATTATGTAATTAAAAATTAATTTCGATTGATTAAAAAGCAGAATTCATAATATAGAATTTGTAGCTGAGAATTATACTTTTAATATGTATGTTATTTCTATTAAACATTGCATTAATTAATTTTAACATATAAATTTGTGTTACACAATAAATAATATCACATGCATTTACAAAAGGCTTAACTTAATGAAATTTTATAAGAAAAGTTCTTATATGCATTCATAAAGAATTTGGGTCTGCAGTATTTCGATGCTGTTGCATTTATTACAATTATACTTGCGACATTGCATATAATCTGTATAACCAAAAAATTAATTATCCAATTTACTATGCAAGTATAAAATTATTTATCTACAAATTACTAGCCAATTTTAAAAGAACAGAATGTTATGATAAACATATTTTTATTTTCAAATCATCATCATCATCAGTTGACGCTACAGCCCTAAGTGAGCCTAAGCCTTCATGTTCTCTGATTTGGAATTCCCAATTGTGCGTCATTTTTCAAATAAAAATTAAAATAACAAAATGAAAATTTTTAGAAATACTTAAAATTTGTTGAAATAACTTTTTTCTTTAAGTATTAGTTTTATAACTTTCACTCAGAAACATTAAAGTACAAAACATTGAAAGGTTTGGTACGCGGATTTTTGATAATTCAGGCGTGAGTTCTCGAAACTAAATTTTTTAAAATCTGCAAAATTGGCGTAATTTACATTCGCAGATTTGTAGCACTAAATATCCAACATTTTTCTATTTATAATCTAATTCTTATTAAAATTTTCCTTTTTTTGGAACGTACTTTATATTATGCTAGATTTTTAAATAAAAAAAAATGATTTATTAGTTTTTAATTTTTAATAATTGTTATCACAGTTATATATATACATATTTAAGATATTTTTTTACTTTTTAATCATGGTACAAACATCAATTACTAACATTTTGTTACTTATTTATTTTTTGTAAGAATTTAATTTTTACAACAAAAATCAATATTAAAAATATGATTTTTTGAATAATTTTTTTGTGTTACAGATTATGATTTCCTTAATTTTATAATATGTACGTAACATTTCAGTATCAATATTAATTTGTATATATATAATTATTTAGATTGTGTCTTTATAAATTTTTTTTCTTACAGTCTAAGTTTTTATCCTAGTATTATTAATTTTTATTATATTTTTCATTGAGATATTTTTATAAATTTTACAAAAAAAAAAAAGATAAGAATAGGAAAACCCAATAATGTGTTTTTGTTATGTTTTTCTAATATTAAACTGAACCAGTCAGCTATATCTATCGTTAAAAGAAATTAAATTTTTAAATATTGTAGAGGACACTTTCTTGTCAAACATTTTTATATTTTCCGTGGAAAATTTTGAAATTGATTGATTTATCCTTTTGGTCATTTTGTTTTAATTTTGACAATTACTTAAACATTAATTTATTAATTTTTCTTTAGAATTTCTATACAAAATTTGAGTCTAATAAACTAAATTTCTAAAATTTTTTTGTGTATATCTTACTTTTCACGTCTTTGGATATTTTTCTTGCTTATCATATTTATATTTTAATATAGCTAGTGAAGAAAAGAATTCGTCTATAAACATATATGTATATATTATTTAAGACAATTCAAATCCTGTATTACTGCATACAGCATAACGTAATTTATCTCTAAGAGTAGTTTTCTTTTGATAATTAGGTAATTTTAATAAATTAAAACATGTTGATGAAGTTGGTAATCGATTTAATGGGTCTTTTTTTCTAATTGTGAAAAAGCCCCTTATAACACTTCCAATTGTATCACCAGTATCCTCATCGTCACCTACTTCAACACAACGTATAGAGAATGGAGGCTCTAAATGTGCAAAACCGAGTAGGGGCGGCTTCGAGCAACTTGTTACAAACTAAAATCATATACATACATATACTAAATTTCTTTCTGTTTTTTGAAAAAGATATTATATTTCAATTTACCTTCAAGAAAAGTTTTCTTTCTTCTTCAGTAAAATCTCTTGCCAATACATCCCAAAGCCAACCTATAACACGATGAGAATCATGAAAACCTCCATAATATTGAGTATGTTTTCGTAAGTCTCTCAAATCTAGAGGAACTGTATCGCCTGATATAAGACGTTGCAGTTCAGGAGCAGAAAAAAGAGATAGCCATTCTGGATTTACAATACTTCGAAATCCGCGATTAAAAGCAGCCGTTTGTTCTCGAATTTGTGTATGCATATGAAAATATGCCATATAATGAATGTAATTTATCCTATAATTATGTTTAAAATAGTTTTGGTATCATGTATTTATATTTCTAAATCATAAATTCAATTACTTATTTGTATCTGTAACAACTCGTGCTTTTCCTCCAGGATGTAATTCATGTGTTACTATTTTACCCATAACATCTTGATCTACTGAAAATGTTAAATTCAGATCAGATACATCTTGCTTATAGTGCTTAATAAATGTTAAACTCTTATATAATTCATTATCTAATGATGGCAATTCGTCTACACAACTATACAACGCCTGATGAGTTTGACCAAGCAGTTGAGATAGAAAAAATGAAGCGAAAGGAACATCAACAACAATTCCTTCATAAACAGCTTTTCCTAACATTTTGCCAACAAAATCAAATAGTTGTAAATGATTATCTTGAACATATGAAATTGGTGAAGGATAAAGACGTTGATCTGATGTCGTTTTAAATAAATTAAGTGCCGGATCAAAAACTCTTTTGATTGTTTCTTCAAGAAATTCTTTAAAGACACCATCTTGATCAATTCCAGCTTCATGAAGGCCCTGTTGGTTAATAAAACGTACTCTAATAACACCTTTCAAAGCGTGAGCTCGTAGAGCTGCTAACTGTCTGTACCCATCTTCAACGATTCGATCCCTATGAATAGTTATTAAAGCAGATCTTGGAGAAGCACACGCAGATTCAGTTAAACCTAACACAGCTTTTTCATTCTGAACGTATTTTCTAAACAGCTTAACGCGATCATCATGTGGTATAATATGAGGCATCTTTTGTAGTAAAATTTGTGTATGTCGCTTGCCTTTATCTAAGTCACTAAGAAAAGTTGAAGGCCGAATTTCATGTATTAACCAATGATTAGCGGGCGCAAATTGTCTACGACAATCTCGTCGATATAAACACAAAAGCAATGTGTGAAGTGATATGAATAATGGGCTTGATGTAACAGTTCTTGTACCTATGTTAATCAAGATAATTAAAAGATTAAATAATAGAAAACATAAATTTGGAAAAATACCTAAAATATTATCTTGTATTATTTTGTAAAGAAAATTATTCAAAAAATATGACAGTGCAACATAATCATTCAAAAGAAAAGGTTTTTGTTCGGTATACATTTCATATTCATCCAAGATGCTAAAAACATATAAAACAAATTAATCACAATATACATGATATTGGATACTGCTTATTAACCTCTAAGTAATACTTACGTAACATAATGGGTCATACATTCACAAAAAAGCATCAGCATCAGCAATTGTGGTTGAGTTACAGACGAATCTAACTTAAGCATTTCATAAAATTCTTTTAATCCACAATGTTGTCCAAGTGATGTAATGAGTAACCAAAGATCATAGAGAACGGTATTGTTGTAACAAATTCCTAATATAAAATAATGTTTTAAAAAAAAAAGAAATTAAAATTGAATTAATTAAAAATAGAAAAACAAAAATTAAAATAAAGTTTGATTTGAACCTGATAAAATGTCCAGTTTCAACAGAGATAAGGTGCTTAAAGCGTTGTGATACATTGCACAAACTTTTGCAATTCTTAAAACTTCAACCGAGTCTAATTTTCTCCATGGCCTGCCACTTTTACTTAAATTTCCTTTAGTTGAACTTCTTTCTAAAGCTCTTCTAAACAGATTGCTTCCGGTGTTTTGGGGCGGGGGTTGAAATTCAATTCGTTCATAATTTTCGCTTAACTTTTTCAAACAATTTCCAAGTAAAATTTTAATGCACTTATGACCCCATAACAAATGATACTGACGTCTTATTAATTGTACATTTTGATTTTGGGCTGCACCTGGAACTGGGGTATACCATCCTAGTAGATCATGCCATTGTGAAAATACACCCTTTGTACCAACAGTATCAGGAATTTTTTCTAATAAAATTGCTGCAATGCTCTGCAAAAAATTATTTACATATAAAGAAGCTATTTTTTTCTATATTTCTTTAATTTACCGTAAAAGTAGGAAATGCAATACGTTCAGCAGTTTCTTGCTCTTCGTCGTTGAAAAGTTGAACTAAATTTCCTAAGAATGCCAAAGACTTCGTGCCCTAAGTTTTTGAATAAAAAAATATAAATAACAATTTTGGTTTTAAACTTTTAAATTTAAATTAAAAGATTATTCAATACAAATATCATTAAAAGGTTTTACTTACTGGCACTTCGGTTGCAAAATTTTTATACCAACTTAAGTCATCTGTAATTTTTAAGCTTTTTTCTAACAAGTTTATGGATTGAAACAATGGTATGCAATCTAAAGCATATGATTCAATATGCCAAATAAGAGCTGGAACTGATAATATTTCTGATAAAAATTGTGATAATAAATTTTGACTGAAATTCCCATCAATTAGTGGTCTTGTTGTTAATGTTATTATAGCCTTTAACGACACTGGTTTCAATGTTATTTCTTCCCTGGAAGTTCCTCGCAAAAGTATTGTCTAATTAAAAAAGTAAATAATTTTCTAGAAAAGCTTAAAACTTTCAAAATCATACCCTCATTGATTTAAAAAAACCTTTTTGAATTAGATCGCCTTGTATATTATGGCAAATCTTTTGATAAGCTGGGAGCATTTTTTCCATATTTTTATTATGAAGAATACCCCAAGTTTTTGGTGATGTTAATACAATTAAAGTGTGTAAATAAAGTGCTAATGATATGCTATCGGTATGATTTTCTAAAAATTAAAATATTAAATGTTTATCAAAATTTATTTAATTGAAAACTATTTTACCAGGCTTAATTATTTCAATTATTTTGCAACAGGTATTTGCTATATTTTTAATATGTTTAATCCATAACAAACTGAAAGAACTATTATAGTTAAAAGAAGAACATACTTATTTAGGAATTTAATTACCTTAATTCTTTGTTTAGCGCCAAACTAGCGTAATTATATTTTGGATTTTCATATTCGATCGACGCATTTATATAGCGGCACAAATTATCAAATCTTTCTCTATCGTCATTTTCAGATGGAACAAATTGAGTCAAGTATCTTGAAGCAGCTTCATAAACTTTAATAGGAAATGTAAATTTCGGATATTCTTCATTACTTTTAAATTCTGATAGAACTGTATCTAAATCAGTACTAAAAGAATTTTTATTTTATCATTGAGCATAACTATAGATTAGCTTTGGGTGCAGTTTTACTTACTTGACACGTTTTTTATATTTTTGTCGAGAAATAAATCCCCTAATTTGTGCTTGAATACAAATAGCTGCATTTTCACGTTTTTTCTCTAAGGCTCTTTCTTCTCTGGCAGCCTTTTTTTCTTCAAGAAAACTTTCCTTATTATATTCACAATCATTAACACTAAACATAACTACAATAATTAGTTTTGTTTTTGCAATACTAAATTTTTTTATTGACTTTCGCAGAGGCTTTGATATTTAATGTGTTAATAATAAAAATTTGATAAATTGAGACTAATTAAACAAAATTTAAACATTTTTTCGTAATACTTTTAACATTGAATCAAAATTCGATGAAATATAAAAATTTTTTTATTTATTCTGACGGCTGTCAATTTTACACATATTACTCGATATCTACATTATAATAAAAACAACAGTTCTGTGAATACATATTAGAGATAAATCAGCTGCTGATATTAGATAAGCGTTACACCAGCCTGGTTGTGAAGACCATTGTCAAAATTTGATTCATCAATAATTCATATGTAAATACCTATATTTATTTCATTCAAATAGCGGATCGAGTTCTTGATCTGCGTATATAAGCTAGATTCACTTGTTTGTCGCTTTCGCGATGAGACGATGTATTTTTTAATACAGCTTTTTTTCTCTCTCTCAAAAAGCTGATTCAACTTCTTAAATGCGGAAGTTTTTTTAAACAACGTCAAATTTACGTATACTGAACTATTACAATTACATATAACCCTAGTCAAAAAAGTAATAAATGCATTATAATAAAAAAAAACGATCAGCTTTTTTCAGATGAACCAATGAACAATCTAGAGAAAAACAAATAGCGCAGCTCAAAAATGACGAACCAATGAATCCAACTATCCTATGTATAGTGGAATAATATTTTGTAATTGAATATATATTGGAATAAAATCTCTTGAAGTCGATTGAGTTTGACATTAGCTGACAAACATTATGTATCCATTTCTCATTTACAACCTTTCAATCCGCGTACACGCAGTCGATTTTCAAGTCAAGCTAATACTTTTATCGGGTTTATAAAGAATATTATAACTTTGAAAATAAAATATATATTTTATTTTCGAAAACATCCATTTGCTTTTTCTAATGCAAATAACTATTTGGAATTGTTCATCCCTTTCTAAAAAATTTTGTTCTCTTTGCCGTTTTATATATTTCTTTTGTATAATAGTAGTCCATTTTTAACATATTTTTTATTTTTTTTTATGATTGTTCACACTCAAATCACGCTAATCATTAATTTAGTAAATTAACAAACGATTGGTGATCTTTCTAAAAGAAAAAAGCTATTTGACATTGACCTTTCACAATTTCTATAATTTCTATTGATTTTCAATATGCGATTCTATCTTGCTTATACTCTCTAAAGTCTTCAGCGTTATAAAAGAACCCAAAAAAATCAGCTGATTATCAGGAATAAAAATTGGTTAACTCAGTTATTTTTAATTTTTGTTTTGTTAAGAAACCTATTATTTTTTTTCAACATAAAATAAAAATAATAAGAATTTCTAATAAAAGAATCTTATATATTTACGATTTAAAATTTTGTTTGCCAAACTTGGCCTACAAAAAATCAAACCGTGTTATCAAGAAAAGCGAAAACACTGGCGTTCAAAAAAAAAAAAAAACATTTTAGTAATTCTGGATATAAAACATATGTACGTAAAATAAAATATACTTACTTACTCGTTCCCACTTTTAAACTCAAAGAGATATTTTGGCATATTTGCTATGAATACATTTTTCTTTAATTTTAATTGGATACCAAATATTTTTGTCAACAACTTTATACGTTATACTTTTAAGTCAACCAATTATAAATACTAAAGGAAGGAGCATCTTTGTTTCTATCTCGCTTACACTCACTAAAAATAGTATCTAGAAAAGAAACATAGTGAAGCCAAAAACTTTAGGTAAGTCTCTTTCTTTGCTCCGAGCATTGTCAAACTGAAATCAACATTACATAAATGCCAAATGCTGTGTTTTTATTTAGAAAATTACGTGCCGCTGTATAAAAAGTAAACAGAGAATAAAAGAGAATACTAATTGATAACAACTTATAAAAAAACATAAAAAGTGAAACAAAAGAAAAAAATATGTTGAAAAAGAAAAAGGTGTGTAGTTCTAAATTGTTATTCCCATTTGTAAAAACAAATAGCTTTATTACAACATATAATTTTGAATATTATTCATTTCAATAATTAAAAGAAATATTTGTTAATAGTGCTTTGATTAAAAAATAAGTTGAAATTTTATTAAGTTTTTAATTTTTCAAAGAAAACATCTGTTTTTGTTTTGTTTTAAATTAAAATTATTTCGAATGACATTATTTTACCATGATCGGATTTTTTTCTAAGCAAAATTGGTTTGTGTTTCATAGAATATAGCATACACAGAATATTTAAATTTGGTCTTTTTTTATATAATTACAGTTTTCCTAGAAGTAAAACAAAGTGGATTGGAGTTATTAATAAAGAAGTTTGCATTTGAAATATTTTACCAAAATTTATAACTTTATAATTCATAAAACAAAATTTATTCAATGATTAAAAAATTAATGAGTTTTGTTTTTAATTAGATTTTTTTTACAGATATTTAAAATGAAAAAATATTTTGAAATATTTTTGGTTTTTACTTTAAAAAAAAAATTTTATTAGCAAATTACACATTTTTTTATAGTAAAGCCAGATAAGAAAATAAAATAAATACGCTCCTGTTACGACTTTGGCAATTCTTGGAGCAAAGAAAGAGACAACTAGAAACTTGTCTGGAAAATGTAGACATTTGGCTACATTTTCAAGATGTTCCTTTAGTATTTCTAATTCGTTGCTTTAAGTGATACAATTTTCCATAGATATTCAACAAACCATTACTTTCAATTCCCAATGTTCCAGAAATTTTAGATGGTGCCTTCACAAAACCGTATTTACTTTTAATTTAGTTATATTAGTAAAAATGGCAAATTTTGACCTTAACCTTGCTTTTATTTAGTTGTTTTTCTCCAAAAACTATTATAATTATAACTATTTGACATATTATATTAATTAATTAATACAATTTAATTTTTTTATATTAATTTTAAATTTTTTTTGGCGTTCTCAAAAAAAATTTAGTTATTTTTTAATCAAGTTGGTTTTCTAAATTAGCCTTGAGGTTTATTATTTATAAAAAGTTACATATTTGATAAATTTGTTAATTTATGTCTTGCAAAGGCACGCATAAAAAGTTCAAAAACGTACCAATAGATGCTGTCAAAATTTTAATTATTTTGGGTAATCACTCTTCTACGCACATCCCCGACCCGAAACATACTACAGTTGTTGCAAACGGTCAAAGTAAAGATACTGTTAATAATGCAGATTTCCTCCAAGGGAAATTCATTGAAATTGTTCAAAAGCGAGAGGCTGCAGTGATAGCTTGAGAAAATTATCTTCTGCTATGTCAGCGGCCAAAGCAGCTTGTGGTCATAGGTATGATTGGTATACAAAACTTGGAGAATATGTTTTAATGGGTGTCGTTTCAGGGGGTGGCTATGGCCCTCCAAACGATGTGATATTTTCATTTCCGGTTGAAATCGTAATGAAAAACTGTTCAGGATTTAACATTTGATGAATTCGGTAAATCAAAATTGGATATTACTGGAAAATAATTATTAGAAGAGAAAAGTGAAGCTATGGCTGTATGCTCTGCTGAGTGACTATATAACAACAAAACCGGCATTTATGATTCAGAATTATGAGTTCTTATTTACGTTTAAAACAAAAATGAATATACATATTTATTTTTATCTTGCGTGGCAGAAAACATTTAAGAAGTGCTTCGGATTTGTTGAAGCTCCAAGAAGATAGGTAAGTATAAAATTTTTTCCGTTTTAAAATTTATTAAAAAAGTTGAATAGAATATTCGCAAACTAAAAAAAAAATCCGTTTATCTAAGATGGCTTTATAAAAACTGCCAAATAATGCTTCATGTGCTAGAGAAGGTTACTGAATAATTCTAAAAACAAAATTTTTATTTACATATGTAGTATATTCATATATAGGGTGTTTTCCATAAGGTGGATAATTTTAAGGACTTTTTAAGATTTATAATAAACATTCAAAATAATTTCGCTTACACTTTTTCTAAATTTTCCATTTTTATATATGTATGTACATATATGCATACTTTGAATCAAAAATTTTTGCCACAGTAGGGCAAAAATATATGAATGACCAAAAAATATGAAATTCCGTAATATTTTTGCATGTTTGCAAAGCAATTTTCGTACAAGAATATAACAGTACCAAAATTTGTCCAAGTGTTTTACCTTTGTTATTAGCTACTAGTACTCGTATAGTAATTTTCGCATTATTTTCCGAAAAATTAGTGTAGCAAATTGAGGTAGTAAATTTCATTAAATTTTGAAACAAGCCAGCTTGCAATAACATACGATTTCTTTATCATTCTTTATTTGACGTAATTTCCAAGAAAGAAACTTACATATCTTATCTATGCATCTTCTCGATCTGTATACAAAGAGCAAAGGCAAGGCGTGTACATATATATGTACTTCATCCTTTTTTATTTTCTGAAGTCAGAAGTAGGATAGAGACTTACAGCAAAAAAATTTAGATGCGTTTACTTCAACTTTATGAATCCCTTAAAACTCAATAAGAACGCTTTAAATTTGAAGTTGACCAAATCATTAAATTTGTTTCAATAAATTCATAAATGATTATTTCTTTCATACGAAAGAAATAATCACACTTAACAAGCAATTTAAGCAGAGTGGTTGTTTGAAATTTTTTTTTAAGTTTAAGTGTTTCCAACATAGCTGCCATGAAAGGAAAGGAATTCATATAGGAACTGCAAATATCGAGTAAATATGAAAAATACATACATACATGGAAATAAATACATGGAAAAGTATTTTGCTAACATTATAACAGTTCTAAAATTTTTTTTGGAAAAAAGTTATTACAAATGCAATTTATAGACTTTTTGAATTAAGAATAATTACGAACTTATGCATTTAATAAATTTAAAAATATATAGGAACATCATTTACAAGTAAAATACATTGGTTGCAAATCAAAATTTGTTATATGCGTATGTACAAATTTAGAATTTTGTACAATAGAGTAAAAAATTATTACCCCACTTTTACAAACATTGATATACCATAGATCACAGGGGTGAACTGTCTGCGTTGTCTCAAACAGTGATCTCGAATCTTTAGTATTGGTTTTAACATCGTCTGCAATTGAATTAAAGAAAGATTAGCATAATGCGGTAAATACTACGAAATATAATGTATACTTCTTTTT